ACGTACGAGATAAATACATCAACCGTCCGAAGAGATACATATACTTTAGGGTTTGTCAATAATCTGCAGGCAGCGTTAGTAAATGTAGAGAGAAGAATGGGGAATGGGCGCCGGTGGGGCCGTCGCAGGTGGTTGACAACAACAGGGGCTTGGACTGGACATACCTTCGAATAACGGACAGCTTTTCACGATAAGATTTTATAACGTCTCCATCCATGTCTCTCCACCTCCTCTTACACCCGTGATTAACACCATGTCTACGTAGCCTGCTTCTTCATCGTATAAATTATAGACCTTTTTCCTTTTTACAATAATATATGCCTTTCATTTTCCCCCAACCTAATCAATATATTCAATCAATTAATTTTTAACTAATCCATGTATATTACTATACCGTTTCTTTCCGTTGTGCTATCCTATCATGTCGATCCAAGTCAACCCTATACCTACTGCATGCAATTGTTTTTTCGACAAAATATAATTGTTGAAATAAAATCACAGAAGATTTCAGAGAAACTAAAAAAATATTAATTAATATAGAAATATTTTAAAATAAGTTTTAATTTTAACAACAATTTTTAATTATAAATATTTCAATAAAACAACTATTTTCTAAGATTGTTATTATTCAAAATATCAATCTAAGTATATACTGAAAATAAGTATCAAGACTTAATTTATCAAAATCTAAAATTAAAAGAATTTTTTTCAATTAATTTAGGATAAGTACAAGGTAGTATATGTTCAAAGATAACTCTCAACCATGTGACCAAGGCTAGCCCTGAGCCAGGGCTTGAAGGGGCACACGCCCATGACCCACAGTTTAAAAAAAAGTTAGTATAATATTTTTCATATTTTTTATAATAAATTTGAAAATAAAAACTATAAAATAAAATAAAATAATAGGGTTCATGAATTTACCAAAGTGTTAATTGTTATCATTGAATTTTTATATCTACATTAATAAATTATTCATCTTTCCATAAAACTCTAATTCAATACCCAAAATTAAAAAAAAATCCAATTGAATCTCTTTAATTTTGATCTTTCCAAATTCCCACCATCAATTCACCAAATCTCGTTCCCGATTTTTCATGTCAATGAAAATTTTTATTGACGTTGTTTTCTCTTCAAAACTCAGTGGGAAGAGTAGTTGAAGTATAATTAGCATGCTACTTTTCTCTTTCATATTTCACAATTCCTCTTAAAATTATTACTCTCACTTTTTAATTTCTTATATTTCTCACAAACACAAAATCACAATTGTTTATCATCAATTGTGGTGTTTGAATCATATTGAAGTTTGTTCTTAAAACTCTATGTAGATCATGTTTTCAAATTCTTTCTTTTGAATTTTATATATTTCCAAATTCTAGATAAAATCGTTCTTTGATTTCCAAATGCTATGTTATGTGTTGAGAAAATTAAATATGTTAATCAGCATTGATATTGACACTATTATCAATGATTTTACGTCAAAAAATGGTCAAAGACAATATTTTTTATAAGTATTTATATGCTTAAATATATATATTTTTGATATTGTAATAAATTATTATTTTTTAATTTAATAAAAAATTCTACTAGAAAAATTATATTAGATATTTCTTAATTTTTTTTAAATCAGAGGCTCATTTTTCTAAGATTGAAGTGTAGAGGCTCATTTTTTTTTATTTTTGCCCCGAGTCAAGAAATAATTAGGACTGATCCTGCATGTGACATTTTTATTTTCGCCCCAAGTCAAGAAATAATCAAGAGTGACCCTGCATGTGACATTGAACGCTTACTCCATAACTTCATTAAATAATAAAAATTATTTTACCACCGAAATCACTAATTCATGCAAAAATAAAAAATAAGAAAAAAAACAATTAGACCCTTTTTTTGTGAGCCATGACCCATCCTGTATTGCACATAGTTACATCTTCATCCTTAATAGGTAAAATGAACGTGTCACGTCATTTAATTTTAAAATTATAATAAATATCTATTTAATTATAATTAAAACAATCCCTTTACCTATTTTCTAAGATATCTGAAGCAAATAGAATGGTATTTTTGAAGATCAATGTGATATATTAAAAATTATGGAAAATGGGGAATTTATAGAGTAATGATACGTATCTCTTTCAAAAGCAACAAACGAATACACATCAGATCTGAGGACACCGCCGGGGGAGAGAGGGACAGCGTGTGTTTTGCAATAAATGCTTTCACTGCACACTCTACGGTTTCAGACATAGAAAATCCATGTCTTTGTTCATGTAATGATGTGATATGCTTTCATAGTTATTTTAACTAAGGCCCCATGTGGCCAAAATTTTAAATACTTTTAGCTATATATTAGCTTAATACTAAAATAATTACTCTAACTATACCTATTTTTTTCAAATAAATGCTTAAATTATTTTTGACTCATTTTTATGTTTAACACTACAAGCGTTATTCATTTAGGTGTTCGAGCCATCAACAATATTAATTTCTTCTTTAAGTGACACATGTCATAATTCGATAATTTTAAAATTTTATTTTAAATTAAAAATTAATATATATATATATATATATATAATAACAAAAATTTTAAAATAAATAAAAAACTTTGAAAACCTTCATTTCAACTTCTAAATTAACGCCGTTGATAGCCCGAGTACTTAGATGGATAACGTTTGTAACATTATGTACCTGGATGAATCAAAAACTAATTTAGACATCTATTTGAGAAAAGTTGTATAATTTGAACATTTATTTTAGTATTAAACCTTTTTTTTATATATACACTTAGATTAATCATAAAATTTATATATATTATAGTTGTTTGATTTATATTTATGTTAGCACATATTATATATATATATATATATTTTTTTTCTTTGAGTTTGTATGATTTTTTTATAGATTATATCAAAAAAATTCTTTGATTTTATTTAGCTGGGGACAGAACTGGTTTTGATACTGGTTGTCGACCGATTCTTTTTTCTTTTTTTTAATAAAAATATTTTTACTTTTGTAGTATATTTATCTCTGTCTTTGTGCCACATTTAATTTTTTCTTGTTTTTTCTGTTCTTTTATTTATGTTTTCTCAGAGTTGGATTTGATGACGCCACAACTGATCAAGATGATGCTTATTTGAAATCTTATTGATTTTCTCTACTATGGACCTTTAGATTGAATTTGGATGCGTGATTCTGCATTTGTAGATAGTTTCTCACAGCGCTTGGCTCTGATTTGTAGTTCTCGATAGTCTTTTAATAGCTTAATTTCCTTTTGTGGTTTATTTGCTAATGCAATCAGATTTATTCGTATCTATATTTGTTCGAGTCTTTTGGTTGAATTTTTAACATTTTCCATGTATGGTCCTTATATGATTTAAAGTGATTAGTTTTAATGTTATAGAAAAAGTCCAAATTATATGATAGTTATAAACTCTTATTATAATTTTAGATATTTTTACTTTTTAATAATATTAGTAGTTTTTATTCAAACAAAAAAAAACATTTTTTTCTTTTTATTTCCTTTTTCACTAATTTTGACCCGTAATAATTTCAACTCATGTATTGACCAAAACTCATGAAAAAAACGTATTTTAATGATCATACCTTTTTAAGATAATACCATAAGTATAAAAATGTGTCCAATTAGCTGAATATTCTCTCAATTTAAATGTTAAATAGTATGAATCAAACAACTATAATAATTAAAGAAATGATAGTTATTTTTTAAGGTTTTGAGTTCGAACACAAACGTCTGTATAATTATTAGAGACTTCGTTGTCAAATGATTTAAAAACTTTAAAACAAATATTACCTTGTAATCACATTAGTTTAATAAATAAAATTAAATATCACATAGTTATTAGTGTATTTTCTACATTTCAATTAAATGGTGTAATTTCTTATAAATAATTTAAGATAACTGTTACTTTAATATTTAATTGTAAAATGGTATATTTAGGTGAAAAAACAGCGGGAAAACTAATCCTCACCTCATCATATTAACTTTTAGAGCAACAAGCTTTTTCTGTTATCTTGTTCCTCTCTCTCTCCCCTGTTTTCAAACTTGTCGTCCAGCTTCCCCATGGTAATTATATAGCTTCAAATGATATCTGGTCAGCTGCTGTCTGCTTATATATCTCTCTCTGTTTGTATTTGTGTGTATATATATATATATAAACATTTTTAGGTAAAAATTATGTAACAATGCAGTGATGTTTGAAACATGATAGAGTCTCGGCAGTGAAAGAAGATGCAAGACCTTGGTTCAGAAAGAAAGATGTAATAACTCTGAGAAGCAAGACTGATGGCAATTGGGATTTGGAAAGGTCTGGGGTGCAACATTTGTCTCTTGCCTGTTGCATGCAATGCTTTTGGCAACACTAAGGTGGTGAAGAATGAATATATATATATATATATATATCACATGCATCTATGTATCTTTCTTAATATCACACATCTATCTTTCTTAATATCATCCTATTTAGTAACAATAATTTGGGTGTATATTTTATATCTACCATGGAGATCACAACCTGTTAGAAGGTCAGAAATGGAGATCAAAGTTTTGTTTTTATGTGTTTAAATTAATGAAATGTTGTATGATTATTTTGTGAGGCTATCATGGAACGAAGAACTCTTATCTTTTTTGTTTCTGAAAAGACATAAAAAGGAGAGAGAATTTCTGCAGATAGGGTTTCTTTTTATTCTTCAAATATTTCTGAATAGGGAGCAGCAGTAGCATTGCATTGCATTCCATACTCATCTTCTTCACCTTTTGTCTTTTTTAACATGGTCTAATGTATATGAAATCACGTGAACCTCTTGTTTTCATTTCCTCTTTCTCTCTCTTCCTTTCTCTTCATTTCTTCTTCAAAACATTGATCCTCCACCTTAGTGGACGATACCATACCAACAATATCTCTTCTGTTCATCACTTGATTCTTCTCTCATGACTTGTAGTAATTTCTATTCTTCCCTTTATCCTTTTTCCTTTTGACCTTAACGAGATGATCACACCAACAGCACCACCTTTTGGGTTGAAATCTCAACCTTCTTCATCATCCCCTTTTTGGGTTAAAATCTCAACCTTCTTCATCATCTTCTTCCTCCTCTCTTACTTGTCCCACTATCTCCAGCCCACTGTTCAAAACCAAGCAGGTTCTTATCAAAGTGAACCCCAGGAGTTCCAAGATCAGGTATATGTTTTGATCTGGTCACTTAGGGTTATGAACTTATGATCATATATATATATACACGTGTGTATCTAAACTCTAAAGTTCCTTCATTTTCAGGCTAAGATATATGTTCCAGACGATGGACAGCTCAAGTTATCAACATGGAAGAAAGAAGAAAGGGGGGAAAGTGTTGATCATCACCACGAGGATAGTTCTTATATGTGGATGCCTTCAAAGATGAGGATTTTGAGGAAGAGGATGCTCGGATTTATCAAAAAGCTCGACGAAATTCGAAGAGGAGAAGGGTTCGGATCAATCAGCCCTCATCATCTCCGGATAACAGCAGCATCTCTTCCCATTATAACAACAACAACAAATTGTGCTGATTGCAATACAACAAAGACTCCTCTTTGGAGGAGTGGTCCTAGAGGTCCCAAGGTAGTATATACTTATAAAATCTCAACTCTTAGTCTCTCCTAATCAGTACCCTTACCATAAAATCTAAGTTAAATATATAAACTGCAGTCCCTGTGCAACGCCTGTGGAATTCGACACGAAAAGCAAGACGAGCAATGCTGCAGCGGCTTCGAATGGGACCATTGTTGCAGCTGAGACCAACACGTACGAAGACTAAGGTTCGAAACAAGAAAAAGATATCAAGTAATGTTGTGTTGCAAAGCTAAAGAAAAATAAAAAGAGTAAACTTGGTTCCCAATCCCAAGGTAGAAAGAAGCTTTGTTTCGAGGATTTGATGTTAATATTGAGCAAGAACTCGGCCTTTTGTCGAGTTTTCAACACAGGATGAGAAGGAAGCTGCGATTCTGATGGCCTTATCGTATGGACTTGTTCATGGTTGAATTAATTAATCAATTTATCTAGTCACTAGGGTAGTTAGTTAGCTTTTTATATTGTCTGTTTATTTCTTAATTAGCTTTGAATAATGGCTTAGATCATCAATTGTTGTCTGAAAAACTGAGTTTTATGCGTGAGTTATCGAGGAAATTAAGATAATTAGTGTGCGAGAAACATAAAAGGGATGTTTGGAGAATGAAACTTTATATCATTTTATATAAAAAGACCAGGCATCGCCTATCAACTGTTACCTCACTGTCTTATTTAGCCATGACAACTTGTATGGCTTAGGATGACGGTCCGTCTTCAACTGCAATTTCTGGACAACCTCCTCGGACACTACATTCTCACAACTGCCGCTGTCAATGATCATTTTGCAGACTTTATCTGCAACTGGCAAGTCGTGTGGAAATATTGGTTCTCAACCAATCGTCCCCTGAATCGCCCTTGGGGGTTCTATTGCAAGTCTATACACAAAATAAACATGACATAACCTACCTATATGCATAAAGCTGATATATATTGCCTGCTTTATGAACTTGCAGATAAAGTCAGCTGCTGAGAAATCTATATCATTACCCACAGCAAAGTCATTTGGATCTTCTATTTTTGTTGCAATTACATTAGTTCATCTCTTTTCCTTTTTGTAAAATTCACCCTCTTCCAATACTACAAATGTGAAGGGGAATGTTTGATGTTCCAGTCATTGATGTTGTATATTTTCTTACACCGTGGGCCCTGGCTACGCAGTTCCCATCAATGAATCAATGGTATTCGAAGCACCAAGACAAGAATGTAAATTTGTAATTATCAAAATTTTATTCATTTTCATCCTTGACTTTGCTCACATCCATGCACAAATTTACTATCGTTAGGCATGTTCAGGTTGAAATATCACTTTAGTATAATATCAATTGAACCTAGGACCACTGCTCATGGAAAAAATTTGCCAAAATTTTAGTAATTGCAAGATAAATTAGAAGTTTAGAACAGAAAAACATGAAAACAAGGACAACTTTCATATTACCATTTTAGAGAGTTATGTTTATGAGTTTACAGACTTTCCATTTAATTTGGGGAAAGGGTCTTGCTTGCTTAAAACAACTACTTTGCTCTTGTGAGCAAAGTACCCTTCACAAGATTTTTGTATATAAGAATGGTCATTATACACTCGACCTGCAAAAATGAAAAAAGAAAAGAATGATAAATTTCCGTTACCAAACGCAAACGGCAGGGAAGACTGTAATCAGAAAATATGTACCTCGTCCAGATCCATGTCCATCTCAATCCATTTCAATGCCTTGACAATTACTTCCAGCTTCAACTGGTGAGCTTTGCTTGGGTCCTTTTGCTTTTGGATGAAGTAACTACAAGATGAGAATGTTACAGTTAATTTATGAGCTGAAAAGATTCAATAAAACATCATGGATGGTAATTTGGTCTCAAGTTCTTACATTTTCTTAACCAATCTTTGGTAAACTTGGAGCTCCAGCTTCTCCAGGACAAGATACACGCCAGATCGCAGACACCATTATAGACGGGGAGAAAGTTAGATCGGTCTTGACAAGTTAATCTCAATATCAACAAAAAAATATGAAGATAAACTTACTGGTCTTCATGTTCTTGGAGAGCATGCCGAAGAAGTCGGAGATCACCCCTTTTTAGAGCTTGTACAACATTATTGTACTGAGAATACAACCATTACTAATTACTAATTTGACATGTTGAAATAATAGCCAAATATTTTAGAAAATGTTTGTAATACCCCCTTTCATTCATTTGATTTTCTTCGTTCCTTTTAATATGAAATCACACCGTAAATACATAACTTGGTAAAAGCATGAGCACAAAGTATCTGTTCCACATAACGACCTAAACGAAAATAAGTAAATATAATGAGAAACTATACCTCAAGGAGGTTATACTTTTCTAGGAGGGAAGGTTTAGGTAAGATGCCTAATGAAAGTTTCACCGGTATCAAAAATTTTAATATAATCCTTCAAAAATCAAACCAAATAAGAACTAGAAGCATGAAAAAAACTGAACTTAACTATATCGTGTCAACGTTTAATGCATAAGTAAGATTGGATTAGTTTTGATACTTCCCATCAAAGATTAGAAATACCATTCGAAATGAAATAAATTTGAAGCATACATTCAAAAAGGGAAATTTTAATCTAGTTATCAAATGCCATATCAGATGTGACAATTTTGATTATATTAGTTATTATGGCTTCCATACCATGCAGATGCAAGAAATATGTACAAAAAGCACATAAACGAACCTTATATTTGCTTCTCTAAGAGGGCTGCAATGTGTCAATGCATATGATAATTTATGGTCAGCCTGCCAAATCACAACAGTATTTAGAAAGAGCACCAAGTTCCCATTATATTGAACTTTTAAATCTAATGCTTTGACAATGTGAAACAAGATAAAAGTAGAATTGAGAAGCTCAGATGCTAGACAAACACAAGAACACAATAAAAAATGAAGTTTATATCAAGGAATGAAAGAAGTAAAGCTTTTTCCATGGAATTTAGACTACTTACAGCAGGAAAATTTTCATTGAGAACTTCCAAACGCCCAGTATAATACATATAGGTGACCTGAGAAAGGCGGCAACATTCATCAAACCGTTTGTATACACCGAAAATTCCAGGGGAAGGGGGGAAAACATTACCTTGTCTCTTCTAGGGAATTCCTCAAAATAAAAAATACGAGCAGTTTCAATACTTCTTATTACACTTCGGCAGAGGTGTACCGTACCAAGCTGCACAATAAAATACATGCAGTTTCAATACTTTTGAGCTTCTCAACTTCAAAACGAAAATACTCGTAACAGATGTTGGAACTGAAAATCATTTGATTTTCTTTTGGCATGCACGGTGGAGAAAGAAAGCAAGGCCGAGGGCTGATAAAGATCTTAAATGCATCTTAACCTCCAAAATTTCTGGTTCTAAGTATACAATCCATTTTTCAAAACTAAATTCATGATAAATATAGAACAGCAAAGGAAAAGATTATAACAAAGCAAAAAGCAAAGATAGAAGAAACATAAGTATCACCTTGAAGTAGATTTTAAACAGTTGGCAAGTCACATATAATGCTCCAACACGTTTCGGACCTTTTCCCTGGTATCCATGTGTCATAACGAATGATTACCAACAATGGCGATTATTTCAGCAAATGAAGTCTAAAAGAGCTGAGCAAGGGAAGCTACATCTTGGTATGAAACGGCGTTGGAGAACTTGTTTAAGTATTCTGTGATTCTCCTATGGGCTTATCCCATGCTTGGGTACACCAAGGGTGTTTGTTTACTTCATAATGATTAAGCGTTGAATGATTTAAATATTGAATGATTCAGAAACTCTATATGAATAAGCTCTGAATATGACATGTTGTTTAATAATGACTCTGAATCATTTAGAATGTACTTCTGTGTTGAATCATTTAGAATGTACTTCTGTGTTGAATCATTCAGTACTGTTTTGTTGAATCATTCAGAGGTGAGAAACAAACACGCTGAATGCTGAACGGTTCAACATTCAGTGCTGAATGGTTCTATTCAGATCCAAATAAACAACACCTAAATTTCGATTCTTGTAAATATAGCGTTTTTTATCGAAATATCACTCTTAAACTCAATAATTATCTGTCAGACTCTATCTCTCCAAATATTATTAATCTATCACCATTTCTAATACAGTGACAGTAAAGCACGGATCACTATCCGCACCTTCGCAGGGTTTTGTTCGAGCTGGTGTCACATAAGGGGAAGGCGTTGATCACCATCCGCGTCTTCGCAAGGTTCTGTGACATGTACAGAAGGTGTGGATCATGATCTGCGTCTTTCATTTAATTTCACAACCGTCTGTCTCCTATATTGATTGTCATCCATCTCCTCCTCTTCCTATAAATATTACATTTAACACAATCCTCAAACCAAACTCAAATCTCAAATTCTCTTATTCTTCTTATTATCAATCTTTATATTAAGAATGTCAAATATTTTATATTGTATTATAATTATTTAATAGTTTATTATTTTATTAAATTTTATTGTACTAAATTTATATTATTTTTTGCAGTTATAAAATAGAATGTTGGTTGATACATTTTGATGAGAATCATATCTCGAGGTATTTTACTGATACGATACCAATTTTAAATTGTGTTGTTATTTTAATTATTGTGAATATTTTATTTGTTTAATTTTTGTAGTATTAGTTTATATTTTAATTTGTATATTATTTATTAAATCATGAGAGAGATCGTATATTAGATCCATTCATTCGTAACGTTAAGTTAGATATATTTATTCGTGTCTGGCCGTATTTAGCCGAGGCTGGATTCAATTACGTAGCAAAATATGAAGGGCACTGTAACCTTGAATCTAACCTTATTTCTGCACTGGTTGAGAGGTGAAGACCAGAGACACGCATTTCATCTTCTGTGTGAAGAGTGCATTATTACGCTGAAGGATGTTTTCATACATTTGGGGCTTTCGATAGATGGAGATGTGATTTATGGAGTGGCGGATGGTGACTAGCATTCCTTATGCGAGGAGTATCTTAGAGATGTCCCGCCTAATTTCAATAATGGTCGAATACCGTTAAATTGGTTGGATACAACTTTTAAATATTTGAGTAGCGACGCCTCCGAGGAACAAGTTATAATGTATGCACAGGCTTACATATTACATCTCATAGGAGGGATCCTAATGCTCGACAAATTGCGTAACCAAATTCATTGTATGTGGTTGCGTCCCCTCGCAGATTTTCACGTTGCTAGCGCACTCAGTTGGGGCTCTGCAGTTTTGGCATTTCTGTATAGGGAAATGTGTGGTATCGCATGCCCTTTTTATGTTCGATCGTAAAAAAACCCATTGGTCTTCTCGCTATTGTTGAGGTAATTTCAATACTGAATTCATATATAAATAATTTTGTTGAGATATAATGAATTTCTTTTCATTGAATAGGTGGTCAAGTGCAAGAAAATATCATAGGGATTTACTGGATAAATTGGAAGAAATTCGGTTACTCGTTGATCAGAAGGCTGGTACAGAGGTATGTATTTTAATTTTATTATTTACTTTTAATTATCGTTATATAATTAGAATATTATTTTGATAAAAATTATATATATTTGTTTTAGTTTCAATGGGCTTCTTATTCTACTGAAGAAATGAGGATTTTCATCCTACATCACTTGAGAGACCCATTAGATGTTTGGATGGCGGTGGTCCCTGTGATATGTTATGATATTAGAAAGTGGCATCCTACTGATCGAGTGCTCCACCAATTTGGTTTCGTACAATCTATTCTGGAAGAACCTAAGAATCTCGAAGATATGCATATCATTGATAGACGTGGCAAAAAAGAAGTCGACTAACTACTGAAGCATATCGAGTAGGTAATGATATGGGAGGATCGACGTGGACGTATACCCCGTATGTAACCCATTTATGTGGATCATTATTCGGTTACTGATGATTATTATGAGTGGCTCAACACGAACGGGAAACAGTTCCTACTTTCCGAGGAAGCACGATGTGGGAGCATTCATCGGTGCCGACAAATGCGTCCACTGTCACATCATCATTGTCCCCGACTAGTAGGCGGATAGTAAACGGTTCCGGCTCATCCT